AAAGTGGTGTGGCATTAATCCAAGACACAGTTTGATTGGGGCACGGAGCCCCTATCACAATGGCTGCTGTTTCCTTTACCCACTTTAGCAAGTAAGGGATATTTTGCTTATCGTTGCATGACCATGGGTTGTTATAAAGTGTTATGACTTGTAGTTGAAAGAGCCGGTCAAAAGCTTTGTCAGGAATATATGTGAACTTGTTGTTGTGCAGATAAATGTTTGTAAGGTGTAGCAGCCTCACCAGTGTTCCTGGAAGTATTTGTGTTAAGAAGTTGTTTGATAGATCCACCGTCTCTATGTTGTAGGGCATATTGGTTGGAACTGTCCAAAGTTTGTTGCTACTGAGATTGAGAAATCTGAGACTACTCAATGTATTGTTGATAAGTACCGCTCTTTCTACCATATTCCTGGAAACGTCAAGCACTTTAAGATTCCACTGGTAAGCTGTATCAAGTTTCTGAAGAACTTTAATATTGTTACCCATGGCGTATATTTCCCATAGAGACTTGGGCAGATGAGCAGGAATGTTCTTGAGCCAATTATTTGAAATATCAAGGGTCCTCAAATTGGTGAACCGGGTCAGCTGATGGTCAAGATTAACAAAGTGGTTAAAAGACAGATTTAAATATGTAATGTTGTCTTGAAATTCATGTGGCAGCATAGTCAAGTTTCTGCCAGAACAGTCCACATTTCTGTTGTTTCCTGAGCACGTACACTTAGAAGGGCAAATGCACAGAACAGTGGGAATAAAAATCAGAAGGACCAGTAGACAAGGACGTGTTTTCAATATCTGGTATTCCATTTTGCCTGAAATTAAATATACCAAAGTGACACCCTTATAATAAAGATAATATACTTAATGCATTTGTAAGGATCATCTTTGCACTGATGACTTGCTGGAGAAATTGCGTTAAAAAAAACTACTACTAAAAATACCCTTTGTGGTACAGTCCTTTTTATAATTGTTTACAAAGCATCCCTCCATTTACAGGCATGTGTCTAGCAGAATGAGACTCATTTTTTCATCTCCCTTTCCCCCTTGAACTCAATTGAGGGCTTTCTTCCTAAAATGCAAGTCTATTCCAAATGTTATACAATGTCTGCTTTGTTTTTTAGTGATTTCAAGCCTATGTTATCTTAGGAATAATGTGCTCTTTTACACAGATGGATGAAAAAATGGCTGTCAAATGGATCTGCCTTAAAAACCTCTGCAGTAATATAGCAATCCCACACACACATGCACATTGTGTTTTGTTTTAATAAGATTTGTTGAAGTGCCTCTAGATAATTTGTTATAAACTCGTTTGAAACCTGAATTCCGGATTCCACATCTCTATTCCAAAATAGACATTGGTAATGTTCTTCCTTTATACAACTTTACTCCCATTCTCTAAAGCTAACCAACATGTATATTTGAAACCTGAATTAATGTTGGAATGAAATCTCTAACTGTCACTGCAGCAAATTTCTGGTGCATGCAATTGTTAGACCGGTATTTTCAGTCTTATTTCCGAATCTTTAATTTTGCAGTAGGTTTTTGCAATTAAAAACAAACCAAAAAACCCCACACTTACCACAGTTCCTTCTGGAGTATCAGTGCATCATTTCTCTGAAAGATTTATGCTTAAAGGTCGCCTTGTTCTAGAGAATAGCTACAGTTCCTCTCTGTGGATTGTGCTTTCCTCTTCAGCTGCATCATATTGCTATTAGCAGGGGCTCTGCAACCACCTGATCAGCACTACATCGGAGGACTGCAGAGCTGCTGTTGGTGCTGACTCAAATTTATTGCAAGGGGTGCATGCTCCACAAAATAGGTTTTTAATTGAGTTACTAAACTTCTCTATATGCATATTTTTCAAGATGTGGCTCCATCAAAATAAAACCTGTAAGTCTGACTACACAAAAAACATCCAGTAGAATTTCTGTAGCTCAGTTTTGCTTAATTGCTAATTCCCCCTAAAAGCCTATTTACAACTGCTGTTCATATCTGCTGTGTTCTTGGCACCTTCATTTTAATCTACACTTTTGTAATAATGACTTTACAGTTTAACTCTAGCTTCCTCTGCTTCAGTCTTCTTAAACTACACAGCCAAAGTCTTTCATAATACTTTAAAATTGGGAATATATATAAAAATTAATTTTCCACTTGTAAGATGAGATTGTCAGTGTATCCTGTCAGCTACAGAATAGTACTGTTCGGGATTTATACAAATATCCTCAGTGAGACTTTATTTAAATTTCCCTCAAACAATCAATGTATAGCTTCGTGCTATTAGTTTTTAATTTGATTATAGAATACATGCTTTTTAAAATCCGTAATTTTTATAAAGCTTTTCCTTCTGACACATTGTTTCTGGCATCTTATGTAGCTATTTTTATCTTAGTTTTTCCTCTGTCAGTGAACAAAATGTAGATGTAGAACTTAATGTTTTTTGTCAACGAAAATTTTAAAAAATGCTTTGCAGTCTTTTATCTATGTTTGTATTACGTGCTAACGATGCGCTCTGTGCGGCACATACAGATGCACACTCCTTGCTCCAAAGAGCCTGCAATCTTAGAATTATAAACTGTTCCCTTCTTTGCCGAAATGTTCTGGGCAGCTGGTTTCAGCATCTGGCAGCTTATCCCTATGAAACGAAATATTCAGTGTGCTAAATTCTTTTATGGATCATATGTCCTCATCAAAATAGTTAATGAAGATCCAAATACAGGGCCATGTTCTGCTACCCCATTATTGATAAAAGGGCTGCTCAGGTGAAACTTAAGGCAGAATTGGCCAGCAGAATCTTTATTGCTCATGTTGATCCGTGAGCCAGAAAGAATACAGTTGAATTGAATTTCAGCTTGACTTTTCAGAGCTGGCAGTTAGAAAAACATCTTTAGTTTTAAACTGAGTGAATTACATATTTACGTCGTTATGGGACAATAAACTTTGAATCCCAAGGCACCATATTTTACAGGAACCCCCTTTTCAGAGTAGAGCTACTTTTGAAAGAATGGACTCCTTTCTCTGACTTTTTTTTCCAAACTAAAGTAGCTTTTATTTAAATGTTGTATAATTTCTTCATAGAATCTTTGAAGAATCCACTTTATGGAAAATCTGGCTTCATAATACAGACTGCTTCTATTTTGAGTCTCTTTTTGATTGATCTTAAATATGGACTTTTCATGCTAATCCAATATTCAGGAGTCCTATTAGAATTTGTTTCTTGGTTCAAATTCTTGACATTTGCAATCATTTTAAAGATGCAGTTCTCCAGATCTGCTTACATATAAATAAGTTATATTCTGTCACATATGGTTTTGCTATATAGCACACATAGATTCTCTTGGGCAAGATCCGTTATAAAATTCCACAAAGTCTCATCTTTGCAGAAACCATTATTTCACTTGAAGGTTACGGCATTGTAAATGTATTTGTCAATCAATATTCTTTGTCCAAACATATAGTACATGAGAGTTAACTCTGAGGCTCATGGCGTGTTGTATTAATTTAACTCTTGTGAAAGTGTCCAATTATGTCCTTTTTCGTTAAGACTTGCATGTTACAGCTAAAAAATTTGTATTGTGCTCAGAGCTTTTCACTAAGTTGTTTTGCAAACTCTGGGCCTAATTCTGCAATCTTTACATGTAAAATTCCATTTGACTCCAGCGAAAATCATAGGATTTGGTTCTCTTTAATATTATTACACTTTTACCCTATTCCTTTGAGAACTTCTGCTCAGTGACTTTTGCGGCTCTCAGTTTAAAATCCATCTGAAGTCTAATTCTTTCCGTTTCTTTTTATGTACCAGTAATAGACTTAATCATAGACTTCCTCATTCTCCTCTTCCCCTCTTTTTATACCACATGGCTCATAATTATTCCTGATGCACTTTATCTTCCTGTTACACATGCTAACATATAACCACATTACCAGGCCTTTGTACTCCTCTGAAAGGAGTGGATGGAGGAATAGACCTTCATTGTATGTCTTGATCTTTCAAAGTTGAATCGAGCGTAAATCAATTTTCTCTGAACGAACATTTATAAAATGTCTTAATAACCATAAATGCTGCAGTAGGCGCATGCCCCAGTGACAAGTATTTAGGATTGGCTGAACTTTTTTTTAGGAAACCTACAATCAGCTAACTCTCTGCTAAGCTACAAATATAAAGCTGCTTCCTTTTTCTGAACACAATCTTTAGTCAAAGTTAACATTTCTTACTGTTCTAGCAAAAAATTAAGAGTCCATACATGAGAGGTTTTTCTTTCAAGTGGGTGAGAGAGAGAAGACCACTAGATTTCTTTTGAATTAGTCCAGCGTGGTGGATCCAAGTTTAGCATTGATAGAATAACATGCAGGTTAGGGTGCTTGCTTGGGTTTTGAGCGAATCATAGAATATCAGGGTTGGAATGGACCTCAGGAGGTCATCTAGTCCAACCCCCTGCTCAAAGCAGGACCAATTCCCTCTCCCCGGTCCCTAAATGGCCCCCTCAAGGATTGAGCTCTCAACCCTTTGTTTAGCAGGCCAATGCTCAAACCACTGAACTATTCCTTCCCCCCCCATAGGGTCTCAGTCTTTTTACTTTAAATACCTTTCCCAGTGTTAACTCTCTTACAGATGGCAATGTTTGTAATGGACCTCAAGGCTGCAAAAAACCCTGATATTATAAAAAGACTGAAGAGATGCTGGCAACTAAACACCTATTGGAAATAAGTTCAGTTTTCAAATCATTGGTCAGTTTAAAAAAAAAAGAGAGAGAAAACATTAAAAGGCTTCCTCTCCCTTTTGGATGGATGTTCTGAGGGCTAGTTGTTGAAGTGCTTTGAGATGCTTCAGTTATATGCTATAGAAGTGCCAAGTAGTATACAGTAAATAGACCTAAATTTTATATGGAAAACATATAAGTTTGTAAGTGTATCAAGGCACTGGACTTTTGCTTTTAATCAGTGGTTTTGTGTTTAATCAAGTGAAAATTTAGTGAATTTTAATTTCAGTACAAGTCACCGAGATGCCTTTGTATTCAAACATTTTATTAAAATTAAGTAAATGTGAAGTATGCTGCTAAAGTGACTGTTAATTCAAGTTATACAGCCTGGAAAAGCAAACATAAAAGTTAGAAGCGGTCTTTCTATAAAGCTGGACTCATTGCATTTTGAAAACTATATATATGGAAACCTTTGTTTCTGTAGATTTTAAAATCTGTAAATACTAGACCTCCATTTACGTACTTAGTCCCATTTTTTTCTTTAGCTACCATCCATACTCTGTATTGAAGTCATTAGTTTCAAGCAGATCAGTAGGTGGTTCCCATTTGTGAAAAGCTAATGTTTAATAAAAGCTGTAACTTCATATAGTTCTTGTTTATCTCAACTTCTCATGTAATCATTTGCTTCAAAACACTTTTAAGAACAGTGTGAAGTATGTTGCAAAGCAGGCTCCTTCAATTTATCCAGGGTCTGGCCGTGCTGACAGCAGTGGTTAATTTACATCTTGATGGGTTAAGTCAGGAGGAGGGGGAAACTCGCTCTGTGCTTCTGATTGAAATTCAAGAGATTTGCTGATTTCGGGACAGTGGTTCTCCTGGACTTCGTTAAGCAAGTCAGGTGGAGGTGGCAGATCAAGTGACTCGGGTGGGGCAAGGATTGGGTTGAGCGGAGGGTCGCATACGTCACTCAGTCCATCTGAAACAGGAGGTGGGGGCACATTGATAATATTTGAAGAGGAAACCGAAATGTTGGCGGCTAATGGGCCTGAGCCTCCCTTTAGTGTAGGGGTAGATTGATTGCTCTTCTCCTTTGTGTTGCAGCTGGGTGGCTTCTCAGGTGTTTCTTTTGATTCAGAGCTTTTAGAATTATCCAGGGATCCATTTTTGTTAAATTTCCATGGCAAGATAGAGAGAACTGATGTACGTTTTGTGGCCAGCTCCGTTTCTTTAATACTGTCCACAAAGATATCAGGTATGTCTCCATCTGCAAATGGAGAGCGACCTGCCCAGTTTGGATCAGCCTGAGCTGGCTTTTTTGAGCATTTCCACAGTAGAATTATAATAATAACTATCATCATCCCAGACAAAATTATGCCAATTAACAGTGCAGCTATCCAGCTCCCATCACTGGGTTCACTTTCTTCTGTTGCAGTGGTATGAGGTGTCATGATAGCTGCTGATGGCTTTTCAATTTGGTGTAAGACAGCAAGTTCATTTGATTGGTATAGGAACTTGGGAGCTGTATTTCCTTTATTTTTTTTCAAGACTGATAGATGTATTTCTTGATTGTGTCAGAAAAACAGTTGACAATAGGTTTGTTGGAGGCCTCTGTATCTCTGTAGAAAGTGATCGCCACAATTGTCCATAGAAGAAAATTAGGATTATATGGTTCGTGTCCCTTTCTCTTTTGCTGACCACACACAGTGTGTGGTTGTCTTCTACAGTAAAAAGAGAATAAAATACAGTTAGCTTTAACTTCAGAGCTGTACTATAGATTTGTTTTATAATTAAAGTCTTGTTTATTTTCATTAATTTGCTTTTGACTACCAACAGTAAGTTTGATGTAAAGCTATATAAATGGTAGACCTACTATTCTTTTAAAACACCATGTCTGCTTCCGTTGAAATGAATGTCAGGGTTTGACTGACTTGAGTAAGAGCAGGGGCACTTCTAACATCATTGATCCTAAATTTCCTCTTGTGTGGTTTTGTTTAAAAAGAGAACAGCCACAATGTCCTTTCCAAGTTGCCAAAAAAGGACATAGGAGAGAAGACTGTAAAAAAGGTCAAAATAGTGATCTGTATGGATTGTCAGATTTCCTTGAAAAGTTCAGATCCTCACTTGTAAACAGGAAATTAAATGCAAATTAAACCGCTCATTACAACAGGTGATTTTTCATTGTTTAACATTTGTTAGTTACAAGCAGCGTCCCTAAATGTAATGTACTTTCTTTTCAATACTTTTAACCTTTATCTTGCATTCTCAGTTCTCTTTATAAATTAATACTTGGAGCATATCCTTTTTAAATCGTTTTTCTGCTACAGTTACTGGAATGGAACTAGAATTTCAACAGTAGATCATTGTTCTAAATGGACTCCTGAATACATAATGGTTTTTGGAGTGAGAGGAAGAATGTTAATGTAAATTCACTTGCAGTAATGGAGTGGAGTTTTTTGCTATTACTGTTTAAAGTTCAAGTATTGGAGCATCAGTCTAAATGATGAGATTAATAAAGCACATATTCAGTATACCTGCTTCTTTTGATGTGCCTTCCATATTTAAATTGCACATAGAGATACATTTATTGGTAAATTAACGTTGAGAACTCAGTTCATGGTGCATATTATTAATAAAAGCACAGATGTTTTCATGTACATGTTATGAGAGTGTTTACCAGAGTGTAAACACATCCAGGCAGTAAGTTAAAACTTCTGGGAACATGTCAGGTTTCTGTATTCATGTTTAGACTTGCAACAGGTAAAAATATTTCACTCATTTGTGCTTACTCTGCTCTCCTTCTCTACATGTGAACTTCATCAGAGCTCAGTAAGGTATTGATAAAAATTTTTACGGCTGTTAACATAATTCACAGGGGAAATTCCAGGTAATCTAAAAATGTTAACTGTTGATTAGAGTTTGAACTTGGTTTTGAGAATTATTGGTTCTAATAGCAATATTTGAATAGTAGGGAGATGTCTTCAGAACACTAACACACGGAGGAAGACCATTTTCTAAAACAGAATACTGTACACAAGTCATAAATTAATTACAAAATATTCTACAGCATCAAGTTGCAAAATACAAGTTGTTTAATGTCACATCAACAACTAGTTAGCCAAGCAGTTAAATCTTAGCATATGAAAACCGTTCCTTACCTGTACAATAATGTCTCCTGTAGTAAACAGTCTTCGCATACTAAGTTAACATTTTGCTGTTTCAAAACTAAAGCAGTCAGAATGGGTGTTGCACATTAAAGAGCTCTAAAAGGGTCCACTGTTCTCACACTGAAATTTTTTTGCATAGAAAGAGGAAGTTTATCAACACTTGCTGCAGGAAGTGTCAAGATTAGGGAGATGACTAAGAATTAATGTTCAAAAGTTGCCTACTTGAAGACCAAATTTGGGATATGTTGTTGTGTTTAAAAAAAAAAAGTGTAAATAGTCATGTTTGCAATTTTTGCATAAGATATTCGTAGTAGTATTAATGTTTATATGCCTGTGTCTATAGAGAAAACATGAGCAATGGTAATTTTATATATTAAGTAGAAGTGGATTGAGCTGAACACAATCTTCTTCCTACTCTCTGTGCTTTTCTGGTGAAGTGCAACAATTATTACTGTTCAAAGAGGCTCAAAGGAAGATGATTTAGATCAGAAGTTCTCAAATGGTGGTTTGTGGAGAGCTGGCTGATCACATGGTGCTGGTTCCCTTCCGTATTTTCATTTCCTAAATTGCATTAAAAGGCAGCTAAAAACTTCCGTAATATTACTGTTCCAAATAGTCCACTTTTGTAGTTGCCACACTGTGTGTGGCTGTAAATGGGAGGGGTTGTGCACTGTGAAATCCGCAGGGCTCCTTTTGATCAATGTCAGGTGCTTGAATCCTGCAAAAAATGCAGGATAGTAGCTACTATATCCTTGTAGATTAACAGAGGTAGGAGTGCCTCTCAGAAATAGAGGGGATTAGGAGCAAATGTGCAGAGGAGTACTGTATTTGGGTGTACAATAGTCAAATAATAGAAATAAGTTTTGACTATGTGCATTTTATATATTATGTGCAGAGCAGGGAAGGAACTGCTACTTAAATATTGTTTCATAGCAATTTAGACATCTCTGACTCAAGGGGCTTTTTGAAAAAGGAATGTGCAGTGTATGACACTTACATGCATATGAAGGAACTGGCATACAGTAAAATCACTTTTTAAATGAGACTCTCACAGTAAACAGTGTTCTGCTATAGCTGGAGCTGAACACTTTTGGTGGCTTCTCTCTTCACGTTTTCTGCTGGTAGCTGGTAGAGGGGAGTGGGACCACATCTTTGCTCTCCAGGGGCGCTGTAATGGAATCCAGCAATGATGTCATGATCCAATGCCCTTAGAAGCCAATGGAAAGACTTCTCCTGACTTCAGTGGGAGTTGAATAAGGCCCTTGATCTCTGTTGCTGCTTAACTCCTACAGAAAGTTAAGTGCTCTGGGTCTGGGGGGGCAGAGGGGATAAGGCAACAAGCTACAGTGATATTTGCTCCCCAAGGGACCCAGGGAACAAATAGCAGTGGAATATTTCAATTCCCTGAAACCAAGGGAAGCACCACAGTCCACTCCTTCCACCATCCTAGCCAGAGGAGCAACCACCAATCCCAGTGCATAAAACTTCAGTGTCTGCTGTTGCCTGCTTGCACCCCTGACCCTCACTTCTGGCTGATCAGAGGCAGCAAGGTAGAAATATTAATATATGTAATAGGGTTTATATATATTCCTTCCAAGTTGGGTTCCTTGATGGAATTCACTTTCAGTGAAGGAGGATCAATTCTGTGCTTAAATAGGTTACATGTCTTTATTTTCCCGAACTTTAAAAATCAACACTTTCTTGCATCAAAAGATATACATTATAGATAGGAAATGTATGGGGAGTTTGGAAAGGCCAAACCATTAGTTTTCAGGAGATACCATCAGTGTGTAGTTTTTTAACACTTGACAAACCAGTTCAACAGACCTAGTTATATGCCGCTTCTTAGACTAAAGGTCAAGCCTGCATATCACTTCATTTTCAGAACTGGAGAATTTGTCCTAGTTGAAAATAACTTTTTAGGTAGCTCCTCTAAGGCATCTTTTAATACCTGTCTCATAAATTATTTTTGCAAGACTTCATATTTTCTCAGAAGTTTGTTTTAAACACACAGGAAAAATACGATAACGTACCTGTAAGCAATCTACTAATGTACCTGAATCACTGTGCCACCCAGGAAATCCTCATGTTTTTTCTACCTACTTTAGAGTGTCTCTGACCGAATATTACAGGTATTTTGATTCCAAGCTGTCTGGGGGCAGGGATAATTATTTGCTGTGTTTCTACAGTGCCTAGCACAATGGCTAAGTAACCTGGGTGAGGCCTCTATGTCCTGTCCCAATACAGATGTTTAATTGCTATATGTCCATCCATATTTCTGGAAAGAGGAAAAATTTCCTCAGCAATATCTCTTCTCTTGTGGCAATACAAATATTAATCAGTTGGGAGTACATATTTTGAAGAAGTGTGACTTAAATGTTTTATCACATATCTATATGCAAGTATGATTAGTGAAATTGTGAGTATCTTGATATATACAAATGTTGCATTATTGTGCCCAGTGACTAACTTCCATTTTACAAGTTGAAGTGCCCTGCTGACACAATTGTAGACTGTTTTAGCTTAATCTGCAGAGCAACAAAGAAAATGTTAGGTTTCAGAGGAACAGCCGTGTTAGTCTGTATTCGCAAAAAGAAAAGGAGTACTTGTGGCACCTTAGAGACTAACCAATTTATTTGAGCATGAGCTTTCGTGAGCTACAGCTCACTTCATCAGATGTTTACCGTGGAAACTGCAGCAGACTTTATATACACACAGAGAATATGAAACAATACCTCCTCCCACCCCACTGTCCTGCTGGTAATAGCTTATCTAAAGTGATCAACAGGTGGGCCATTTCCAGCACAAATCCAGGTTTTCTCACCCTCCACCCCCCCACACAAATTCACTCTCCTGCTGGTGCTAGCCCATCCAAAGTGACAACTCTTTACATAGTCAAGTCGGGCTATTTCCTGCATAGATCCAGGTTTTCTCATCCCCCCACCCCCATACACACACAAACTCACTCTCCTGCTGCTAATAGCTCATCTAAACTGACCACTCTCCAAGTTTAAATCCAAGTTAAACCAGAACATCTGGGGGGGGGGGGGTAGGAAAAAACAAGAGGAAACAGGCTACCTTGCATAATTCAGAGGAACAGCCGTGTTAGTCTGTATTCGCAAAAAGAAAAGGAGTACTTAGGTAGCCTGTTTCCTCTTGTTTTTTCCTACCCCCCCCCCCCCAGATGTTCTGGTTTAACTTGGATTTAAACTTGGAGAGTGGTCAGTTTAGATGAGCTATTAGCAGCAGGAGAGTGAGTTTGTGTGTGATGGGGGTGGGGGATGTGAGAAAACCTGGATCTATGCAGGAAATAGCCCGACTTGACTATGTAAAGAGTTGTCACTTTGGATGGGCTAGCACCAGCAGGAGAGTGAATTTGTGTGGGGGGGTGGAGGGTGAGAAAACCTGGATTTGTGCTGGAAATGGCCCACCTGTTGATCACTTTAGATAAGCTATTACCAGCAGGACAGTGGGGTGGGAGGAGGTATTGTTTCATATTCTCTGTGTGTATATAAAGTCTGCTGCAGTTTCCACGGTAAACATCTGATGAAGTGAGCTGTAGCTCACGAAAGCTCATGCTCAAATAAATTGGTTAGTCTCTAAGGTGCCACAAGTCCTCCTTTTCTTTTTAAAGAAAATGTTGAAATTGCTAGTTTGTTTTTTTCAAGATCCCAAGAATTAACTGACGTATTTGTGAAGCAGTTCATCTGTGCTTAGGTATAGAAATAATGCGCACAAATAAGAAGTTTCTCCAGTTTCCTCAGGGTAGTGAATCTTTAGTATAGTGAAACCTGTTATAAACATTCATTCAAAAGACCAGCTTAGAGGAGCTAAAAGTGGAAGTGGTACTCAAAGAAATCTTTAGGGATACTTCATAGTAATGGTCTTATGTTAGAGTAGTTCTTGGTAGGTGGTCCTTACTGCGGGTTTCATTGTATTAATCTTCTGGATAAAGTAAGCTAGATGAAAGTAATAAAATTTCATCTTCATTCTTATAAACAAGCAAATCCACAACAAAAAAAACTACGTAAGTGCATTTCTTTTTCACTCTCCAGAGTGACGTAATTTTGCCCTTAGTAAACATTCTGGAGAATTAATATTCTAGAAGTTGTTTCCTTACAATAGAAACCCCAATCTATTCTATACCATAATTATGAATGAGTCAGATTGTTTCAAAATCTATTGTACGTTTTTATTGGGGTTACCAAATGAAAGAGTTTTACTGCAACCATGTTACGTATAAAACAAGCTTTATATATTTTTGCACAAACTTAAAGCTCAGCAAATACAGTTGACTTTAAATTAGTTCAAAAGCAAGGTAGGCTTGAATTATGGTTTTTGAAAGAAGAAGAGCAGAAATCGTATCTTGACTGTACAATATATTTGCTTTAAAGTTAGTTGCAGCCAAACAAATGCCAGCATAAGTAACTGAAAATGCTAGTTTTTTAGAGGTTGACTCACACAACACTTAGTATGTGGGTGCTCAAACTTCTTCACAATCCAGAGCATATCTTAGTATAGAGTTAGTCTGAGGGAACACTTCCCCATTCGTGGCCCTCTCCTCCCATTTTTCATCATGCAGCATCTCTCTAACAACTACAGCAGTTGCCTGCATGTTAGTTATTTTTAACTGTTTCTTAATATAATTAAGCAGATGGCAACGAGGAGGAGATAGCACCATGTGATCAGCCAGCTCTCCGCATACCTTCAGTGATCAACAGACCACAATTTGAGAACCTCTGATCTACAAAAATGTGCTGAGGAGCTCTTGAGAATTCTGTTTGCAGTATCAGAGTGGTCTTCTAACCAACTGGTTTGTGGGTCACTGATTACATCAGAGAGAAACGAGCTTCATTTAAAATAAAAAAGTAATCGTATACCCATAAATAGCACTCTGCGGATTCTATACCTACTAGGCTATTGGTCTGTCCCCATGGCCTTTGTGGGGTTCCTTTTGCAGCCCTAATATCCTAAATATTTTGTTGCTTTATCCCCACTCAGCTCCATTGCCCACCAGTTTCTTTCAAAGCACTAATGGAGAGGTCTCCCTTTAAAACAATGCAGGGTACTGTTTCAAATGACTGAAAGGTTGATTGCACACAAGTTGGGGTGCTCCTTTCCTATGGAGCTGTGTGCTACTGCCTAGAGTTCCCATTGTTATGCAGTGGAAAACCAAATCCAGGATGTGAACCTGGTTCTCCTGTGTGTCACTATGTTACTTCAAGGCTACAATGTCGTCTCTGTTAGGAATCTGAGCTTTATTTAAATCTCAACTATAAAATTGGTTACGATGCTGTCACATGGTTTTGAGGCTTGTTCATTTTTCTGATCATTAGCTCTTCCCCTAGTGAGTTTCTCAGTTGTTTCAACTGCATTTTTCTTTTGAACTGTGTTAGCTGTCTCTGATATCAGGTCTTGCATCATCAAG